AGCTTACCGATTACAGAGGTCTTCTCAAGCGGAAAAGGAAAAAAATAACAAAGCAAATTAAAGTACTGTAGAAAACTAAAAACGTATTCCCTGTGCCACTAGTCTCCGATCTAACTGTGCTTAAAAAGAACCAGAAGAAGTAAAAATCAAACTACGACTACTGCTTTCCTCTCTCTCTCGTCACTTCCTCAGACGGACAGAGCAAATTTTCCTTTTTATACAGTATTGTTCTCACAAGTCCATGTTTTTTTTTTTCAGACAAAACTAAGAGCTCATGCTTCTTTTGAACCAGCACTGGGCTCTTCTAGCAGAATTGCGGTTCCCGGAGCTGACACTTTCTTTTGGCCATTTCAGGAAAACCTCAAGAATTCTTTCCGGTTGTGCTTTTCTAGCGTTGCTCTCGCGGTTCAGTGCAGCAGCAGGTGACACGGGGGGCCGAGGCAACTCCAACGGGTCCCTCTGGGCCACTAGCCAGCCGTGCTGGTGGAGCCCAGATCCTGGCTTCTTTCAAGACACCGCTGAATGAGATCCTGGGTTCGATGAGCTACTAATGGTCAAAGGGACTAGAATTATGGGATCACATCTAGATTCAAACTCATTTCTCTTCTGGACTTGTCTTCCAAGACTCCTGCTCTCAGTCATATGTTTTTGCGGAGGCGGAGGGGAGACATCGGATTGTTTAGGGACAGGCCGAAGGGAACGGGGATTAGGAAACGGAGAACTGTCACTCTGACTAATCCCAGCCCTTCACACCTTCAATCTGTTTGAGGCCTGTCACGATCGTAATCCCCCCCGGCTCTTTCGTATTTCACCTGATTACTTCCACCTGCCCCCCTGTTCTGCCCCTCCTTATTTAAGCCTGGCGCTCTCGATATTTGGGGCTCAGCACTGGGAGATGGACGCCCGGAAGTCCGCCTACCAGCCGGTCCAGGAGAGACCCGACGGCATAGGCTTCATCACAGCATCCTGACCGTCTGAGTCCGGTGCTCGGAGTGCCTGGCCCCCTGTCTGTCAGCCCCCCTTCCCCTGATGTCCTTCTCCACTTACTTCCGGATTATAGTGTTCCTATTGGGGCTTCTGCTGTCCCTCACAAAAAAAGGCCTGTGGGACGGCAAGAATACTCTTATCCGGCACAACATAGCGGACCTCAGAAGGAGGATGAACCACAACGTCACCAAATGGGGTTTCCCTACGGCAAGGGAGCGCTGGAGAGGACTTAGGGCCCTGTACAGGACAATGGACAATAGCAAGTGGTAGGGCTTGGAGGGAGTCTCTTAATTGCGCAAATCCACCCCCACTTGCACAGCTTGATAACGGACAATCACCACTGGACAGAATGTTTTATTGCATGCAATGTTTATTTTGTGTGAGAATGTTTATTTTGTGTTTTTCCTTTTTGAGATGTCCATACGGAATAAAGAATATTTTGTAAAAAAAAAAATACCGTCTGCATAGGGTCCTGAACTACGCTCCGCGGGAGCCTGGACCGGCTCCTGTGATGATGCACTCACTTGACACGTTTCTGCCGACCGCAAATCTACACCAAAACAAATACATCGGAATTTGTAACATAATCTGGGATTTAAAGAAAAAAGGGGGGCGGCGTTGTTCTGACACGCATGCTGGTTCAGACTGAACACTTCGGAAAGGGCACGGAAGGGGAGAGGGGAGGAACAGTGACATCCGGCAGGGTTCTGTGGAAACATGGGCGCGCCAGCGAGGCTGGGGGGTGTCCCAGGCAGCACTGGTTAGCGCCTGTTTGGAGCAGGAGAGACGTCAAGTTGACAGATTCCAGAGGGTTTGATCAGAGCAGTTCGGGGAGTGGGCAGAGAGAGAGAGAGAGTGAGTGAGTGTGTGTTGGGAATATGTTCCCAAGCACATATTTCCCTGGGCTTGGGAATGCAGCAGAAAATAACAAGGTCAGGAAAAAGTGAAGAAGAAGAAGACGTGATAAATGTTGGTAGAGTTTATATGTACAGTATATACTGTAGCAATATATATTATTACTGTGCATATCATTCATTACTCTGTAGCTATGCCAGTTCAGATTTCTAGACAGAGGTGGAAAGGCAGATAGGAAGACAAAGACAGGCACAGATAGGAAGCTAAACAGATATTAAAAGGTGATTTGTACGTCCATCCATTTTCTAACCGTTTTCTAAGAGCCTGTCCCAGCATGCAATGGCCCTAAGGAAAGGATATATCCCAGACAGGGCACCAGTCATTTACAGGATATGTAGATTTGAACAGCCTAATTGATCTAACACTGGTAGTGTTTTCAAAAGAGCAGGTGATAAGGGTTTTTTTTTTCTTTATTGAGTGGAGGGCTGGAGCCCAGAGCCGAAACCACGTACTGCTAGACACGGGACTCTCCTACTCTACTCCACGCCCTCGAACACACACTGTAGGTAAAATCGTCTCTTTAATTATTCTGACCTTGCTGTTTATCGCATGTCAAGCAATAAATAAGCTAAATAATTACGTTAGATAACTAAAACGCCGAATGAAGGAAGATTCCGCGATGTTGCTTTCAGGAAAGGTCTCCCAGTGAGTTGTTTCCGGTGAAGTCCTGCTGTCTTCGTTGGACCCTCGAAGCTGTGCTAAACCCCCTGCCGACAGTCCGAAATCCTTTTTCGGACTGTCATTTCCCTGTGCACGTCTCGGTACGCCACAGACAGCGTGCCTCCATCTCACCGGGCGTTTTCCAGGGGTCTAAGTTTGTTTCGGTAAGGACAGGACAAACTCGGGCAGAATTTTCCGGAACCAAGCGACGGACCGGACGGACTCCGCCATCGCGGGGTTTTCCCCAGCACCTGTTGTGCTATCTATCTGAAACAAAGGCCGCTACTTAGAACTATGGAATGGTTCTGGGAAACGACCTTTGATTGAAGAAGGCGAGGGTGGGGGGTGGAAAGGCGTTTATTGCTTATGTGCGCCTGTGCGTCCGATCACCTGCGCAACTGTCTGTCTGACCGACAGCCCAGAAATCCGAGCAGCCCTGGAGGGTTTTTTTTTTTTAATCTGGCGGTTTATTTATTGAAAATGTGTTTATTGTTTCATTTAGGGTACAGGACCGTCTTATTTACAAAGGTGAAATGTGCAGTAAGAAAGGAGCCAATGACTGCTATTGGTAATTTTAAACATATCTGCAGGAGCTCTGTGAAATACAATACAGTATCTTATCCATCACATAAACCAGGAAAAATGGCACTGTATACTGTATAGAATATATTGAGATGTGTATAGTTTGTAGACAGCATGTGTCGGTATATCACACGCACCCCAGGTGGACAATAGGTATACACCATCTTAAATGTGAAGGAGCTTTACAATATACATTAGACATTGACCAGGAGCATGGTGTATATATAGATTATATGTCGACAGGAGTGTAGTTTATAGATGTTAGTATACTGTATAGTAGTTCAGGTGGGTAGCTGCGTCAGCATGCGTAGGCTGCAAAGGAACAAGTAAAAGGTTTATTCCATGCTGAAAAGAGAAGAAAGAAAACACGTTTCAGCTGTGGAGCCTTCTTCTTCACACCCAAAACGTTGTGTTTCCTTTCTTCTCCTTTCAGCATGGAATAAACCTTTAACTTGTTCCTTTGTAGTATACTATATACACACCAGGCTGCAGCACATTGTACTGTATTTGCTGGAGCTTGCAATCTGGACTACAGTGCCAAGAAAACGTTTCTGAGCCCCAGTTTCCTTATGGGAATGACAATTTCCTGCCATGACACCCTTCTTTTCATAAGTCACCAATAATGTTTATATTTAGCAGTCCAGTGTTTTCAGAGGTGCAATGGTGCATGAAGTACGCAATGATTAAGGTCTGCAGGCCCCTCTCGCTCTGGACGATGTCAGTCGTCATGCCTCAGCCATCCGGAATGGGAGTGATTTTCATGGGAGAACAGCCAAGAAGACACTGCTTCCTCGAGAGCACCTGGACCCTCAGGAAGACTCCTCAATGTCAATGTCAATGACAATGTCAATGACAATGTCCTCTGGCCAGATGAGTTAAGGGCTGAAGTTTTTGGCCACAGTGAGAGACCAATGAAAACCAGACACTGCCTTCTAACAGTGGAAGCTCATCCCAACTGACAAGCATGGAGTTGGGACTATAACGTACTAGCAGGGTGGCTGAAGAAGAAGACATGTCATTGTTTGTATTGGCCAAGCCAAAGTCTGGACCTTAACCTCTTTGAAATTGTGTGGTATGACCTGGAGCAATGGCCTAAAATATCACAATATGGACCAACCAAAGTGGCTAACAGCCTTTTCTCAGCACTGTATATATAGACATGAGGTGTGTAGTTTACAAACAGGGAGAGTACAGTACATTAAATATACCAGGTGGACATATTGTACAGTTGATATATATGGTAGGTATCCAGTATATTGTTTGGCAGCTGGTGCGTAGTATGTCTAATATGCTGTAGAGCTTGCATATCACATTTATATCCCAGTCCTAATATGTGAATGGAATCCATTGAGTAATGTCACTTAGATGTGACATTTTCAGCCCTGACTCTAGAGCCAGAGTGTTACCCGTTATAGAGGACTGGAGACGGGGATTGTGGGGAGTCATGCAGGAACCAGGAACACCTCCGCCAAAGGTAACGAGTCTGTGGGCTGGGAATCCTGGGTATTCCTTCCTCCACTGCAGCCACAGACTATCTGGAATTCCCATTCCACAGTGCTGACATCTGCCCAATGCCCCGGCATGGATCATTCCCTCTGTAAAGAGTGGAATTACACTGTTTTTTGGGGATCAGTCTTAGGAAATGTCCATGAACTTTCCACTTCCTGAACATAGTTTGAAAAGCCACAGCCAATTTTCTTAAATTCTATTAAAATGTGAAATATCAAAAGCAAATTCGCTCTGCGTCTGGGGAGCGGGACGTTGGAGGCTGGGGTTTCCAGTCCCTGGCTGTCGGGGAGTGGAGACGGGGCTGGGAATTCTGTCGCTCATCCCGGTGCACGTTTGCACCTGCAGAGACGTCCCGGAGTGCTATCCGGAGAAGCTGAGACTGGGGAGGAAGCGGGCGAGGCGGCCAGCGTTCCGAGATTCCGGCTCACTTCCTCGGCGTCGGGCGCGCTCCTTCTCCTTGCGCCTCCGGGCGAGATCCTCCTCCAGGACCTGGGGCACACCGAGCGGAGCAGAGCCTGCGTCAGAGAGCCCCTCCCTCTGCTCGCCGGCGGCTCAGAGGCTGACTGGGGCTTCTCTCTCCTCTTCTTCTCCCTTATCCGCCTCTCTCTCCTTCTATTCCCTTCTTTCCCCCTCTCTCTCCTCTACTACCCCCCACACTCCCCCCTCTCTCCCTCCCCTCTACCCCATCTCTCTCTACCATCTCTCTTCTCCTGCTCCCTCCCACCCCTCTCCTCCCTCTCTCCACCCTTCACCTCCTCCTTATCTTGCCCTTAGCCCTCTGCTCTCCCTCCCTCCCCCTCTACTCCATCTCTCTCCACCCTCTGTCTCTTCTCCCTCTTCCTCCCACCCATCTCCACTCTCTCTCACCTCCTTTCCCTCCCTTTCTTTCTGTCCTCCGTCTCTCCACCCTTCACCTCCTCATGATCTTCCCCATAGCTCCCTCCCTGACCCTCTACCCCATCTCGCTCCCCCTCTCCACCCTCTCTCCTCTCTCACCTCCTCTCCACCCTCAGTGAGCCCTCTCTCTCCCTCTCCCGCTCCTTCTCTCCAAGCCTTTCTCCCTCCCTCTCCTCCCTGCCGGTAGCCCTCTCCATCACCTCCTTCCTGCAGGCCAGCTTCTCTCTCCACTCGTGCAGCTCCATGGTGTGCTCCTCCTCCAGAGTCCGGATCTTCTTCTTCTCCCACTCCACCAGCACGTGCAGCTTCTCGTTCTGTCACACACAGACACACACAGGGCCGTTACCCAGCGCTCCTCTGAGCCGCATGGCTTGCGTTCTTCCAGGTTCTTCCGGTACTGATCTTGTGTCAGGGTGTGGGAGAGCTACAGTCCTGCAGGAACCCTGAGCTCATCAGTTGTGTAACACCTTTGACCGCTGAATCAGATGACCTTTGCAGTTAAATAGGTTGTTGATCATTTCAAATAGAAATGGTGCTGCAGTCCAACTCAGACTCTGTGTCCTGTTCCTAGTTTTTTTTCTGCGCCTAAGCCAATAAGTGGAGCATAAATGCGTAAATCAACTACATAATGCATGGACTTTCACATTATCCCATCCTGATGTGGTGTCCCAGACCAATCATTCCCCAGAAATCACAGGGTGCTTGCAGGCTACAAGAAAGGTTGTGCTGTGCAGCCACTAGTTTCCCTGATGCAAGTATTTAAAATCCTTAGACGTGTCGACTAGAGGGCTCAAGGGCAAGTGCCAAGACCCGGTCAGTCCAGAAGTCGACTTGCAGTGGCAGTGTGGAACAAGCTACCCAGCCATGGTGATGACCAGTACCCTGGTCTCTTTCAAGAATGCCTGGCTGAGACCCTTAGCTCAATTAACTGCTAACTACCAAAGGAGCTAGGCTTAATGGCCTCCTCTCGTTTGTAACTGTTCTTATGCTCTTACAGAGAGGTGCAGCGCCTATCTGACGGGGTGATCGAGTGAGCTTGATTCATTAAGGTGTAAGGAGCACCCCAGCCCTCAGAGCATCATGATCTGGGGGTAGTAGCACCCTTTAAATCTCATTGCCCGCTCCTGCGTCTGCCTGGTCTGGGACGTCCCGTGCACGTTAGTGTCTTATCGCAGTTCTTCCCAGGGGTCTCTTTTCCCTGCAAGCGGGCGGCCAGCGCCCTCCCCTGGGAACACCTCTCTTGCGTTCTCAGCGTGCGCGGAAACTCTTCCGGGACGTCCGCGGGGAGGGCGGGGACGTCCAGTACCTGAATGTGCTGCAGCTCGGCGATGTTGGAGTCGCACTGCTCCTGCAGCTCCCTCAGCTGTCTCTCCTGACTCTGCTGCAGGCTCAGCCGCTCCTCCTTCTGGCGGCTCTCTTCCTCCGCGAGGAACTGGGAGAGAGGGAGGGAGGGAGGGAGGGGGAGAGGGTTGAGGCCCGCTGCACACATCCAGCTTCATTGACCATCAAGATTTGTTTTAGCTGCTTAATTTGCTTTTTTTTGGTGACATGCAAGGTTGAAGTTACTTTACCTTTAGTTTAAACCTCTCAATTTTTACCTTTACCTTTACAGGACTGCTGAGCTGCAGTGTTGCCAGGGAAAGAGTCATTCAGTTAGGAAACCTTTACAGACATTCAGGTCAAGGACCCAGTGTTATTGTTTGAGAGGCTCCCTCTCCGTTCCTCGGGCTGAGACAGGGGGTCACAGCTCTACTGAGTTTCTTCCTCCCGTAGGATTGGAAGCTGTTCTGCTTCTTGCAGGTGTGGGATTTCTAGGATCGGATTTGTTATTTTAGGAAGGAATGTTTGTATAATCCCAGAGTATTTCATGCAGTGCAACGGAAAGAGCATCTCTAGCTCTGTTTTTCCTTCCTGGAAGTGG